TCACCATTTGTGCTACAGGCATAAATCATGCCTCAAAATTGTATAGCTCATTAAGGAGAAGTGTGCTATTACTTTTCTAAGAAATCAGACTTACAATTTTCACCTGAAGGAGAAGAAGAAGAAAAAAAGAAAGAAAAAAAAAATCACAGACTTGCACAAAAGGAGGGACACTAAGGTATATCTACAGACTAGAATATTATTGAGTATTAGGCACTGGTCTAACTTGGGCTTTATTAGGCAACCACCCAGAAGCAACCGCTTAGCAATGCATTAACTACCATTCAGAACACCTTAGCAAACAAATAGCAAAACCCTGGCAAACACTCAAAACTCACAAGTATTGTGTATTTTACACTGGCCATTCTCATTTGCTTAGTAAAAGATCTAAAAATTATAGAACTAGTACTAAAATTACTAAAGAAAATTACTTTACAAAAAGTAAAATTACAAATAAGAATAAGAAATGACAAAAACCCATAAAATTACTAAAAATAAAAATAAAAACTACATTTAAATAATAAATAAATAATAGAAACCAACAGATACAACCATCACGTAGAACAAGTGCAATTCCTTCAACCTAATTAAAATGAATATATAACAACAATAAACAGGAACAAAGGGGGGGGGGGGGGGGGGAGGTTATTGGATTTATTTTTTCCTAAGGAAGTCTTTTAAAGCAGCAAGGACATGCTCCCTATCAAATCAGTTCATACTCCAGAACACAATTATCATTAATGGTTAAACTGAAACAAAGAGACCCTTTCAGACTGAGGCATAGGTAGGGATTGGCTGTCCTTGATTTTATTCAAACTTAGCTTAGTTTAAAAAGGGCCCTCTCCACAGAAAATTGCCAGTGCCAGCGAGGAGCAGAGCGAGTGAAAGAGGACGCAGTGCACCATCACTGCAGAAAAGCCTTTAAACAGGCGCTTACAATGAGCCCGTACAGCTGTGGTATAGATGAGCCTTGGAAAAAGAGTATGTTGGGTAAAAGTACCGATGAAACAAGTGGTCCACACACACAAATGCCAAGGTTATTCATTACCCTGGGAATACAAATTCTAGAGTATACAGAAAAGCAAGGGTAGGGAAGGTAATTGGAGAGGAAGAGAAGTCAGTCAAAATGTGAACTGTTCTGCCTCCAAATATTCAACAGCAAAAGCCTGTATAGGATATAAATAGAAGAGCCTTTATAGGATACTCAACATTACCCATAATGCAGTGCACAGCAAAGATAATAGAAAGAAGCATAAATTAAGAAATAATTAGAAGGCAAGTGATATACTCACAACAAACAAGAAGCTTTTTAGGACATTTTAGAGGCACTAATGGCGCTTTTCCACTGCATAGTACGGTACGGTTCGGTTCGGTACGGCACGCTTTGGCGCTTTTCCACTGCATAGTACGGTACGGTTCGGTTCGGTACGGCTCACTTGTGGTGCTTTTCCACTGCATGGTCCGGTACGGTACGGCTCGCTTCGGCTCGCTTTAAATGGTACCTGGTCTGTTGAGGTTCCAAGCGTACCGTACCGGTACTAAAATGTGACGTAAAAACACTGCAGATCACTGATTGGTCAGACAGAATCGTCACTACCAGCGTCATTGGACACTAAACCCGCTAGATTTAAATAACCAGTAGACAACAGCCAACGCGGTAGCATCTGTTTTTTAAACTTTAAAAAGAAATGGCTGAATCGTGGTCAGTGGACGAGGTGCAGACGTTCCTCTCGTTGGTTGCCGAGGAGCGGATCCAGCGAGAGCTGGATGGGGCAAAACGGAATGAAAATGTGTTCCAAGAAGTAGCTCAGCTCTTAGCCGCACACGGCTATCACCGGACCTACAACAGTGTAGGGACAAAATAACGATCAGTCCCACCCACTTTGAAGAGGTACTAACTGCGGTGGAAAAGCAACCGAGCTAAAGCGAACCGAACCGTGCCGTACCGAGTCGAGTCGTACCACGCAGTGGAAAAGCGAAGCGAGCCGAACCGTTCCGCGCCGAGTCGAACCGTACCGAGCCGAACCGAGCCGTACCAGCAGTGGAAAAGCGCCATAAGGTAAATCATCAGCAGACAATGTAATTGAAAAACATCATTTGGAGGATACATTTCATTGTTTAGTGCATTTAAGTCCAGCATCTAAGTTTGGATTTAAGAGTTATGACGTCAGGTGCATTCAAGTCACTTTGGTCGGAGCAAGATGGTGATGTACCTTTTCCACAAAAATATTTTTTAACTCTACTTCTACAAAATGATTAGGTGTGCATTTGCTTTTTGTTTTTTAATTATTAAAGGTGCTGTAAATTGAATTGGTAAACATTATATCATAATTGTACAATACTATTTTATTACGTGACCTAGCTAGTTTTATTGTAAATGGGGGGGGGGGGGGGTTCATTCACTTCAACAAATTTACAAAAAAATGATATTGCGTCTGCCATTTTTTCTCACTGAAAAGGCCCCAACACTGAAAGAATGTTTAAAACAATCTTTCCAACATGACTGAATGCATCAGCATATAAGCATAAGCATCATATCAGACTGAACAATAACCCTGGATACTAATGGGCAAACTGTTGTTTTGTGCAAAATATTAATTAAAAAAATAAGGAATGGCCAAATGTCATATTTCTTCACAATTGTTTTGCTCTTTTTCACATATGATTTTCAAGGCCCTTTGGTTCCAAAGAGAGTATTTAAGTACTATACCCTTTAACATAACGAAAAGATCCATGTCATTTCACCGAAGAAAGGGCCAGGAAAGGTCTTTGTCCCATGTGAAAAGAAGCCAAATCATTTCTAAAATACAGGCTTTGTCCATTATTTTCTCACCGACAATACCAGGGATTCTCAGAGAGCAGCTGCACTCTAACAGCCCTAGCAGACTCTTGTCCCTGAGGTCTCAGCGGCTCCTCTCTCTCTCTACCCACAACTCTGAGCATGTCGCAATGTTTCCGTGGAAACAGGGTTGAGTCAGGGCTGACTGTGATTACTGATCTCCTCCTGAGGTCTAGAGAGGCTTTGCAGGTCAAGTCATGTGACCTAAACAGGTAACAGTGGAACCGAATTCAGGGCCAAACACGATTGGTTGTTGTGTGCTGGTTGTTTTTTATTTAAGCACGCGAGACGTGGTCTTCCAATCCCTCACAGAGGGGTCCATCAATTCCACGCCGATAAAACGTGGGCATTTTGACAGACAATCTATCATTCTTAGCCTGACAATAAAAGCAACAACATTCCTGATCAATCGGACACCGCGGAGGGGCGGCATGCACGACGTACGCCCCCTCAGGTCACCATCATCATCGTCACTATCAAGCTGCGCTGATACAAACTGCCGAAGTGCATGTGACTCAGCAGCATGCAGACACGCTGACCAGAGAATTTGAGCCATGCGAGAGAGCGTGCTGGAGCGATTTCATCCCTGAGGGAGACACGGCTCAGGCAGGTCGGTCTACCTCCAAACCACATTGACAGCGTGAAAATCGCTATCTGCCCAGCAAGGGGGGATCATCTTGGTCGCACTGAACCTAGCTTCCACAATAAAACCCAATAAAGGTGGGATATTGGAAACGAGAGAAACAGAAACAAGGTGAATAAAAGCGCTGACAGCTTCCCTGCAAACCCTCACACTCCCCAATCCACACGAAGTGCACAGAGAAGTCAGATGGAATGGCAGGAAGTAAAGCAACCTCTGAACTGCGAAAAACTTCAAAAGGAATCCACTTGTTTGGGGTGCACACTGCCAGACAGTTCTTCAATAAAGCCAATCCCAAAGTAACTTTCCTGCTCTGCCCTGAGAAATGATGCAACATTCGAAACATACTTCCATGCTCATCCAATCAAGCAGGTTTTATTGCTGGCAGGTTATAGAAATTTCACTCGACACAATTCTACGCCAAGCGGCATGAAAGTATTGAATGAACGGGCCATCTCGCTGCAAATAAATGGGTCTATTGCGGCAGCTTATTGCTGTATTGTAAATAACATTTACCTGTGCTTCCTTATCTTCAAGCTTCCTCGCGTACATCTACAGGCCTTTCTCATAGCTCCAGCAACACAATAAAACAGCATTTTAAATGACAAGTGACACTTGCGGAGGCAATAACGGAGCCCCTCTAAATAAATAAAATAAAACAAATAACAAGCAGCCTCATATGGGCTATGCTACCGCACTACGTGAGAAATAGTAAAAGCCAGTCTGCAATTACCGCATTACGGACCTGTGAAATGAGGAAACATTGCCATCTCCCAGACAGTATATATTTATAAAGATTATTACCATCATTTTTGAGAAAGTGGGGGCGAGGGGCGAAAGTAAGTGACAAAAACAACATGAGCAGCTATGAACATTTCAGAAACAATAGTGACATGCTGTAATGTTACTGGGACAAAGACATGGCTTTGCAAATGGGTTGTGCTGAACGTCCCACAGCAAAATGGAACGTATTTATAGGATGGGGGTAGGGGGGCGCACTCGATATTTCTTTTCCACTGTTCAATCACAGAACGTGTGTGTGTGGGAAAATCTAATTAAGTGATACATTCTCAGTATGCTGTCTGGGGGGAAGAATGAACACAATGAAACCCATTTAGATACAGAACATTAGAATAAACAGATTAGATCACAGATTATGATTATTTGCCTAAAAACTATTGCTCATCCTTGGTGTTACAATATTTAAATGCTAATATGTGTTAGGCAGTGATCCATTTCAAAGAAAAACTGCTTAAACTAACAAAAAAAGGTTCTAGTTTATTCTTGGAGAGCACAATTGAGAAATCACTCATTTCCAAATGTGCAATTTACATGCAGTAGAACTTTCAAATTATAGCCTATAAACTACACTAATGCTGAAAATAAAATAAAAATCTAAAGCCATAGAAATTACTTTTTTAGATATTTACAAAAAAAGGAGCGAAGAGAGAGAAAGAAAAAGACAGAAATATTGCACGATAACAAATCACAGATCAAAAGCGAATAAATAATTGTTCTACTTACCGCAACTTTGCTCCCAGTTATCTGCATGCAGCGGTCAGCGGAGGGAAGTTAATGTGCAAAAAGACACAAACAGCACAATCATTAGTAGGCCAGAATCTCTCCAGTACTATCCTGATGAAGTATTAGAGCTTATACTTAAATCACTATCACACTGGCAGCCTCTCTGCTATGCTGCTTAGTCAGCTGAGAATTACACACTTAACAAGGTGGAGAGAGAGGGTTTAGACGGACACTAAAGACAATGTCTGCCATTTTGATGACTGCTTGGAACTTAAGGATCATGCTGAATTGATCTCTAACTGAGTTTTTAAAAGCATCTCTCTGTTTGCTCATTGGTTTTGAAGACTATGGAGAAGAAAAAAAAGGCTGGTGAAATGATTGATGTGTGAAATGACTGATGTGAAAATGTCATGTTTTAAAGTAAATAAAATAAAAACTCTGTCTCAACAATCTTTTGTTTTCAATCCGCAAATCATTACTTCAGGACAATCAAGCAGTTTCTAAATTAAGGGCATTTTTGACAGTCAATACAAAAATCCAGAGGGGATCGTCACTCAATGACATTCTGTATGAATCTAGTACATTTTTACTAAATTAACCCCAACATGGTATTTTATTCATGAGCAGATGGCCTCCTAAAATGCCTCCATAGGCCAAAAATCAATCAAATGTCACTGGTAGTTTCTATCAAGTGTCAAATTATACATAGCTCAAAGCTCGATGAAGTCAGCATGTTTTTTTCTTGGCCAAGCCGTAATGACAATTACTAGGCTGAATATCTAGGGGAAGGTTTTCTGGGAGCATAATTTGTTCTACAACTGAAAGGGATTTTACTGAAATGAGCACTATTCTCACTTCAATAATACAAAACTGGAGGTGGTAGTTTCTAAATCTGATCTGCTCTCTTTCTTTTAACATAGATGTCCTTTGTTTTAACAAACTCCCACAATCCCATTTTTAGGTTAAGGTTTATGACTATAATAAAGTCAATTTTAACAGCGCAACCTTTTAATCAAGACAAGAGTGCTACTTTCGAGTCCAATGTTGTGCATCTCTCTGGCAAATATGCTCAAACAAATCATTAAGGGTTTGGGTCTTGACCCTAAACAAAAAGTCACCTGCTTGTGCTTTCACCAGACATGCTGGGTGACTGCCAAGTATTGTTAGCACCATTTTGGCTGGGTTTGATGAATGTTGTATTTTTATTGCAGCCTGATCAAAAAAACAGACATTATCTTGAAACCACATAAAGAACTGTCAGGGAGGAGCCTGAGGGGAAAAGCTGCTGCTAACATCAATTTACACAAATGTCACAAAACAACACCTCATTGTCACTTTACTGTGGTATTAATGCTGTCAATTCCTGAGGAGCATGAAGAGCAGAAAAAAATGAAAACTTAAACCAGATGATGGTAATTGTAATGCAGAATTAGGCAGTCATGTAATATGCTAATTATAAAAGAGCTCTATTATGAAGTAGCTCCTGTAAACAAACTTCAGAAGAAATGTCATCTTATCAAGAGATGGGTATTTATATCCTCGTTCCTGCTCTTCCCATGACCATCAAATGCTCCATGATACAAATCTATTCATTTAATTATTTATTATTAGCTCCTGCATTCTAGACAGGATCATATCATCTCTCAGGAACTGTCATAAACTATTACAAGAACTTGTGCTGTAATTTAGTTTCCATGTCTCTGTAATACCACAATATTGACAATGTTCACATGAATATCATGGGTACAACATTTCCTTTCCCCAAAAAGACTCTGCCTAAAATTTCTGTTCCTTACATGAATCATTTCATTTAAGTGCGAAACAGTAAAGCAAAGTCAAAGCTTTTCATGACACTGGCAGAGCAAGAGGGAAATGACGAGTTAAAGACATGCTTTGGCACTCATGAGGACAATGACACCTGTCAGAGACTGAAAAAGTGAGAAAGCATTTTATGAAAAGTTAATGGCCAAGGACGTCTGTAGAGCAGCTAGGCAACATTGGTTTTCACTGTATGTAGCTTACAGTTATGGTCAGGTTACATATCCCCTGCAAAATTAAGATGTTTAGCATTTAAAAATAGGTAAAATCGTTTGTTTTTTTTAAATGACAAATATTTTTATTGTGAAATATACATAAACATATGTTGTGTCAAACAAAAAAGCTATTTTATTATTTAAAAAAGATTTATTTTTTGCGAGTAGTATGTTTATACTTAAGAGGGCTGTATATTTAAATGTAAAGGCGCTTTCTCTTAATAAGACATTATAGTGCTGGTGGCAGTCATTAAAAAAAAACTCATACTGAGACCCTCTGGAAAGTGTGGTGAGAGCTCTTAGCTGTGCATGCTGAAGGACTCAAGCGGGTGCCTCCAAGAAGAAAATGCTTGGATCTCAAATAAATAAACAAACAAATAAATAAATAAATAAAAAACACATGCAAAGGACTTAATAAATATAATAAATATGCATTTTATACATAACTTTTCTTTGGCAAATAGCTGTTCAAAAATGTTCAGTGTGAAAAAAAAAAAAGTGTGACCATATAATATAATGAAAGCATGCATAAATGTGTTGCAAGGGAAAGGGTGTTGGCTGTAAACAATAAAAGGAACTGTGAACCATGGGAGCTGTAAGTTTCTGTCACACAAGCAATAATATCTGAGCTATCAAAGAGGACAGACATCGCTGGTGTGAAACTTCTCTATTCTTCCGTCTTTCTTTTATTTCATCGCTCTGCCCTCCTGCCAGGCAGGAGCTGTGGGAGTCTGCGGCACACAGACAGACAGGCAGGCAGGCTGCGACAAGAGTGGATTGGATGGGTTTGTTTTCCCACTAATATTTGTTCTGTAAAGCTGTGTGCTGAAACACAATCTACTGTAGGCAGATCGGCACACTCGGGGAGATAGCAGCAGATTAAGTGGGATGGATGGACTCCACTATCCCTTCCTTTATTTAGACGGGTTTGGGTTATTAATGCGGAGGTGTGCAGAGGCCGTCTCTGTGCGGTCTGCTCTTGGCCTCGCTCACCCCTGCTAAATTACACCTGCAGCGGCTCAAGCGGAGACCACGGGCCTCCTCTACCGTCAGACCACCACTTAATTACTACCACTCGCCAACCAAAGAGAGGACATTGACCCAGTGCTAGACAGAGACAGACAGCACAGCAGAGACTTTCTCTGGACATGTGTCAGTGTGTCCGTGTCAGCATTAGTCCAAGCAACTCACAACTCAAAAACACCCTTAGTAGATATTCGACATACAAAAAAAATGCATTCGAACAACGATTCCGAGAGTGAACAGAATGTGCAGGTTTTAGTTACAAATTAGTCAAGTGAAAAAGACTTGACGCAAAAAATTCCTGCCATCTCATGCTTGTAAGAGATGTAAAATTTTAGAACATTGTTAAAGTCAACATGGAATCAAAATCGAGGGCATTTATGCCCAATAAAACTAGAAAATTTTAGTACAGAAATTAATATAATTCATGATATGTGCATGACTGCAGGAATATGAATAACAATTTTCAAATTGAATTATTAAAAAATTTCAATCCCTCCCCTCAATCCTACAGTCTTTTTTTTCTATTTCACTAGGAAACACATCACATAATAGAATTAAATGGACGAATATACCGCTTTTCCAATGTCGGGCCAAACCACTCTCTTTGCTTAACCGTTCCATTACGTTCCGATCCAGCCCAGCCGGCACGGATATGGTTTTATTTTCCATTGTGCATAACGGAGCTCTTTGGAATGCAATAGAAATGTGTCAGTTGTTGCCTTGGTAACAGAACGGTTTACTGATGAGATGTAAATAGCGACTGCATTATGGACGATGATCAGATATTTTTTTATTTTTATTTATTTATTTATTTTTAAATTAAGTCGCTCAAATAGCACGTTTAGCCAGCTACAGTGAAACTGGTAGCCAAGCAACAGACAAGTGACCAATCCTGAGTGGCGACGTCACAACACACATTCTACCAGCATTCGGTTAGCTACTAGTGATGAGAAATCCGAGCTGAGAAAGGTTTGTAACCGTGCCGTGCCGAACCAGGCTCAAGTGGAAACATAACTGGAACAGTTCCTTAACGTTCTTAGAACAGTTCGACCCGGCGGTGGAAAAGCAGCTATATTCTGATTCATGTTGACTTTAATAGTTTGTCAGCAGAAAGACACATATACGCTTTTTGACTAATAGGAAAATATCCATAAACGACAAGGGCACTTTTTAAAAAAGTAATTTTTAAGACTTTTTAAAATAATATTTTCAGTGGCTTAAGTAAGTTACATTAATTGTGTCATATAATTCAACAATATAAAAAAAAAACAGCAGTATAATTTGTACAAGGCTGAATATTTGCGCTACTCCCACATCATCAGCAGTATGCAGATATGGTATGCAGCTTGGTTAGTAGCTTGAGCTGAATGTTTAAAAGAGGAGGAGTAGGAGGAGATCTCTGGGTGCTAAAGTTGAGCATTACAGGGAAAAGTGTGTTGTGCCTGTGTTAAACATCTCTTATCACATAAAAGCACATCTCTTCCCTAGAATGGAGAGCACACGTTCCCAACCTCCTCCTTGCTTGTCAGAGCGCTGTGTTCAGCCTCCACAATGACATGCTGCTGGTGAGTGCCTCTGGTGGTGCTGAGGGGGCTACAGGGGTACACAGAGACAGGAACCCCCTCCACCCTTCCTACTTTGAGACTACAATACTAATATGTGTGGCTCTCTGCTGCAGAATTCAATCATCTCTGATTATCATCATTATTAATAATGCTGGTTAATTATCATGGCCGGGAGGAAAGCTAATGAAAACGGACGCTGAAGGCTGGCCAGAGGAGCCGCCCACAGAGCGGGTGAGGGGAACATTGGTGTTTACGTGGAGTCTAACCTCGGCAGGACCTACTTCATAAAGGGAATGAAGAGAATTCGCCCCAAAAGCCTTGGATTACCCCGCGAGGCGGTGGCGTTCCAGCCTTTATTCATCTACGGTGATGAAAGAGCCATGTTTCAGCTTACCGAGCAGAGACAGTGATGCGTACCAAATTCTAATGAAAACTTGATCCCCGGCAATATGAAGCTTTTGGAAAGTGCAATACAACAAAAGTAGCCTGATAAGCACCCAAGAAAAAAAAAGGTGAGAGGGGAAAAAAGAAAAAATAAATAAATCAGAATAAATAATACATAAAAGAGCTAAAGGAGGCAGCAATCAAAGATTTGGGGCTTTAGCAAGAGAGGCATAAAGCAGATCAGGTTAAGCTCATTATTCTGTAGTGTCTCGTCATGTGGTTCATCCCCACTCTCTCCTCTGTCTGTTTCTCTCTCTTTCTAAGACCGACCGCCCCAGTGTCGCGGTGCACTTACAGATTTGGCCGTGGCAGAAATGTACTGGACCACCATCTCCCGTTTGGTGCTCAGGTCCTTTCCTCGCAGAGGGGCTTTACGCTCTTCATTCAGGTTCATGTCCTCCTGTAGACACACAAAAAATATATTTAATATATATTATAATACACTTTAAATATATTAAATTAATAAATAAAAAACATAAATGTAATCTATTTTAAAATCATTCAAATCTGCTATTTGTTCTCACAGCACATTCATGATCACATTAAGGACACTGTCCTATAGAACCAAGGTTAGAGTGAGTCATAAAGCCTTGATGTATGTTTATCAATTCTATGACAAGTCAAGGAGATGTCGTATGTGCAACAAAGAGCCTTTCTCCTGAGATACACCCAGGATGCATTTCTATGGAGCCATGCTGCCCTCTGGTGAAGTGAAAAGGGACTGTGTTCTTTGCTTTTTAAATGAGACAAAAAATTACAGACAAATGAAAATACTCAAGGAGGAAAGGGTGGGGATTGTTGATTTCAAAGCTACGTGTACATCTTTTCATCAAGATTTATTTATTTATTATTTATTTTTAATTGAATGTAACATTTTAAAGAGAGAGAGAGAGAGAGAGAGAGAGAGAGAGAGAGAGAGAGAGAGAGAGAGAGAGAGAGAGAGAGAGAGAGAGAGAGAGAGAGAGAGAGAGAGAGAGAGAGAGAGAGAGAGAGAGAGAGAGAGAGAAGAGAGAGAGAGAGAGAGACAATTTTGAAAACTGTGACTCTTGGTGTTTTTACCACAATCCTAAAAGCACATGCATTGAATTAATGATAAAGTGAAGGACATCTTTTCAAAGAGGAACATTTCAACAGTTTTACATCAAACCACTGTCTCTCTCCTTTCCCCTCACGTAAAACAAGGCCTTTAATGAATCAGTGAGCCCTGTTGATGTGGCATCTTAATTGGCTCCTTAATCCAGTTCCCGCTCTACAGCATGATTTACCCATCAGGATTAATTATGTCCTCAAAGCTTGGAATTATTAAATCAAACGCCAGGGTTGTCATAACTGAATCATTTTACGGAAGCAGTCGGATCCACTAATGCAAAGGTATAATAAATAAGTACCTTTTTTTCCTCTTCAGCTGCAATGTGAGACCAGTTCCATTCATACTCTTAACTTGAAGCTCTATTAATCTCAGTGCTCGGGAAACTTCAAAAAGTCATCCACAGGAACAATGCAGTTACCAATACAGACCATTAAAACTAAAAGAACACAGTGTGCACAGAATGCGAGTCTAATCAACCAAGGGCACCGAGAAGGGGTTCCAGGAAAATGGAAATCAGTAGATTTGTCTCTTACTTTAAAGGCACACTATGCAGGAATTCCATTTTTGTCAAACAGCGACCCCTAGAGTCGCTGTGGAGTACTTGTATTTAACGTTACTGTCGTAAATGCCACTCACGCAGAGCGTCTGCCATAGACTGGTCTCTGCACTCACGGCTGATACCCCTTTGAAGATGTTATATTAAGGTGCAAATCTTGCATAGTGTGCCTTTAAATAAGAGATCTAGCGCTAAAATGTGTTTTTGAACTCGTGTCCGCTGCTATCAGTGTCATGCATACATAGGGCCCTATCTTGCACCCGGTGCAAATGACTTTGTACACTGACGCATGTATCATTCCTATTTTGCACCCGCGCAAAGCGGGCTTTTCCCTCCACAGACGCACGTCGGTAAACTAGGAAATGAACTTGCGCTCCCTGGGCGGGTCGGCGCAAAAAGGAGGCGTGTTTCGGCGCAAACGTTCCCTAGTGCTATTTTGCAGTTCCAGAAAACAATTCCGCCACTGACCAGAAAAAACCTAGTCTAAAGTCAGTGGCGCTTTGTTCATAATGCTATTTTAAGCGCGCATGCTTGGCCATAATGTAGCGGGTGCACAACGCGCATACACTTTGATTCTCTCATCAACACAGATGCAGCAGTTTTTACTTTTGCAAATCATACATTTTAACAAGGAAAAATATTAACACATGAGGGAAATCATTGTGGTGTCCATGAAGATGTAAAAAATTTTTAGTTTTTTTCCTCCCACGCCTGTTTAACCGACGCTGATTTGGGGGGGTTTCTCCCATCCCCATACAACGTCACTTCTCTGTCTTTCACTGCCCTGACAAGAACGTCGGTCTCCTCGGCTGTGAACCGCTCCTGGCGCGCGCCTGGTAAATCCGCCGTTATATAAATATCCGTTATAATAGCAATCTAACACCTGCTCTTAACCCTCTGGGGTCTGAGGTGTTTTTGGGGCCATTTGGATGTTCTGTGATGCCCTTACATTTGTGCTTTTTTCAGTTATTTATAAACATGTTAATGGCAAAGGTGTAAATTCACTCTATATAGCACAAACAGGGCTACCATAATCTGTGAGCAACTTGTATGTACATTGTTTGTATTTTTAAGAGAATATTGTTTATGCGTGGTTATTGAAAAAAATTAAAATGAAAGCTGCTGAAATAAGACCACAAAACAAATACTAAATATGTGTCCACAAGACTTTTGACAAATGGATGTTGACGCTTCGAGTTCTGGCTTCAAAATGATCTGAAAATCATCCTTCCTAATCATTCACATAAACCAATAGATTGTTTTAAATTGTGAAAAACATTTTTTTGTTTGCCAAGGCAATATGCAGATGGGCGGAACGGCCCAACCCCTATCATGAATATTAAGTGGTTCTCAGACAGTGACCCTACATAATAATGAGCCTTTCATTCAGGGGTGTCACACAAGAAATAATGCAAGGACAATATATATATATATATATATATATTGTCATTGCATTCTTTCTTGTATATATATAGCCTAAATATATATATATATATATACACACACACACACACACATATATATATATATATATATATATATATACAAACAATCAAAATATAAATGAAAGCCAAAAGCACATTTTTAGTCATACCTGGAAACAAATTCTAGTCAAATGCTATATGGGCCATTCTACAGAATCTTGAAAAGAAAATAGTCTTTTTCCATAAATGTCTTATAAAGTATTATTTTTTAAAGTAGACCAATACAATAAAAATAAACCAGTCGCATTTCAAAGTCGTTCGCGAAATGACCGCCAGGTGGCGCAAAGGGACATTTATCAAAACGTAAGTGGGGCTAATGTCAATTAACAGTAAGGATGAAATTCTACAAGTTATGGTAATTTGCAAATAAGCCTACAACAAACATTTATTTTTAAACAAATATTTTTAAATATGCAACATGCACGTTTAAACAACAAACAATACAATCTGAACCAGCGCTTCTGCTCCTGTATTGAGACATGCAGCGCGTTGCAGTTACGATCCGGGTTCCAGTGGCCTTAATACATTCACGGCTTTTTAAAATGTCACAAAGCGTTTTGAGATGGTTTTGAATGAAATATTGAAGTTTATAATTAGGGTATTTTGGCACACCACGCCGAGTGGCTATGCATTATTCTAAAATCTGGCTTTATTCTGGCATGTTGAATTAGAGTTTGACAAACGCGGCGGCGCGTTCATTTGAATTTATTTTTCTCATAACAGCTAAAAGAACTTACTGCGTAATTGTTGGTCATACAGATAAGATATCATCTTTTAAAACTGTAAAAGGTCTACTTTTATTCATGTAGGCTAAAGTAGGCCTACACTCACAGGCTAACGACAAAACGTTTTCTCGCTCATGACAAACAAACGTTTGGGCATTTCTCAGTGAGAAAATTCATAGCCGAGTGGTAGAACTTACGGTTCGATCATCAAGATGACACGGGTTCAAATCCCGAACAAACATGGTCTATTGTAAATTTTATATTTATTAATGCAGAGAGATTTGTGTAGCTCTAAAACTCTGGTACACCATACAGTTTTTTGCTTATATTTATAAAATAAAATTACCATGCATTTCCATTTTACACTAAGGAACAATAGTATCCAACAGAACGACTTTGCATCTGTAGGCTACCAATCGTATGAGGCCAATCGTAATTTCAAAAGCAGTTCTGTAAAAAAAGTAATTATATATATATAGCCAATATATATATATATATATTTTATTAGGCCTATTATTATTATTTTTTTGATTCCCTACAACCTAGAGTTTTTAAAAACATGGTTTTAAGTAAAGTGTGATTTGCCAGGGGGACGGGGATTTCCTTCTGGTCTAAACATCCCTGCTTCTGCTGAATTATTTGAATCCCCACACCCCTCCCTCCACAGTAATCAATGCTATAGGCTACTTCACCAATAGACCATATCAAATATAAAATAGAGATATGCAACAGAACAAGCACGTTTAAACAACGATAAACAATAAAATCAAAACCAGCGTTTCAGTTGTTCATTAGTTCAAGTGGCCTTAATGCATGCACGGCTTTTCAAAATTTCACAAAGCGTTTTGAGATTATTTTGAATGAAATATTGAAGTTTATAATTAAGTGTTTTGGCAGACCACGCCGAGTGGCCCTATGCATTTTTCTAAAATCGGGTTTTATTCGAACTTTTGCTAACGACAAAAGTTTATCTGTCGTCTCTGTCTCCGGGAACTGCGCGTCACAAAAATGAACCGAAAGCCACTTCAGCTCAGTCACTATAAGAAATCGGCTCTGTCTAATGCCTTTAAATGTCTAAATATTCAGGCTAATAAATGTTATCTGATTATGTAATCCATATGAAAACGAGAGGTACAGAGGATCTACTCAAACATGTAGCCTATGTAAGCGCTTCCCAATGAGAAAATGACAAGGGTGAAAATCTCGCTCTAATGAAATGTAGCAGGCTAAATCGCCCTGAATTAAAATGTAAAAACAGATCAAATAATGTATTTGTCGAAATGACAACAAATGAACATGCGTTTTTTCAGATTATATTTAGTTTTGCTTGGAAAAAGCTGGCCCAAACCAGTTTTATTTCATCAATTATTGAAATAATGAAATATTTAGTAATAAACTTTTATGACAGAAAATTCACTAGGCTACATGTAACTTAAATCATTTAATTCCTTCATTATCAACACTGTCTAGAATAGCGATTTAAGTGTGAATTACGACTTCTCTTTGTGTTAAATCAGCCTCAGACTCCGATAGCCTGTGGGGGGT